GTGGCGGCGGCCGCCAGTATTCAGGCCCAGCAGCCGAAGACAGCGTCGGGCGCGAGGCGTGCGGTCGCGGGACCGATGCAGTTGAGTCCGGAACAGTTGGCCAAACTTCGGAGTGAACTCGATATCGTTCAGTCAAATATGAAAGTGTTTAACGAAATGCTCACTGAATTGAAGCCCGGAAGCGAACACAGCGACGATTGGCAACTGTTGTCCGATTTGAACAAAACGTGTCAATCCATGCAAACCAGAATTGTTGAACTCATAGAACTGGTGGCCAATGAAGAGGTCACTAACGAACTGTTGAGAGTTAACGACGAACTCAATAATCTTTTCCTACGATATGAAAGACACGCCAAGAAACACAAACCACAGCAACAAATGGCAGCAATGGCTGCGATGGCTGCACCTAAACCCACGCCGGCCTCAGAGCCCACTCTCATTGATTTTGACTCCACCGAAGAGTCGGGTGTCGCTAACCGTTTGGCAGACATTCAATTAAGTGGTATCAACGCTACCGCTTCCCGACCTATAGAGACAACTGCTGGTGATTTGGACTTCGATGTGTTCGCTCAGTCCAGATCCACTTCCGTTAAAGACAACACCACTACTAATGATTTAAATTTAGTTAAACCACAACTCAATAAATCGATGCCAATCCCTGATATGATACCACAGGTATGATATGAATCTGTCATTTATATACCATCTAACTTCCCCATAAGAAACCGTAATTTTTATTTCAAGTGGTTTTATAGCATTTTATCGGAGCAATTAGAATATTAAATATCTGAGTTTTATATTATTGGCAATGTTAGGCTTATGACTAATTTAAAATATGCTTCCAATGTTCAGTTCAGAATCATGCACCATTGTATTTTGTCATTATTTAAAATGATAAATGTTATAATTAGTTTGTTAATTATATATTTTACATGATTAAAACTATCATGTTAAAACATGTGAAGATTTCACATTTTTATAAAAATTTATGCTAAATGTTGAAACTTAATGAAATTTTCAAATGAAAAGAATTTAATTGAATTTTTTTCCTATTTAATATTTATTTAGTGTAGTTTATAGGAACGATTACCGTATTGTTGAATCTATAGGAGAATGTTAATTCAATGACCTTTTGTTAATTCAGTGACAAAAAACGAAGTTGCTAATTGCTTCGATTTAATGTTGGTCAATTTATTGTTTTGCTTACAACCTTTGTTTCAATCTATACTCTATCGGGAGATATGCCTCTATTAGAGGTGTTGCTTACCCAGTGGTTTGACTGAATATACAGTAATACAGTAATGTGTTTGAATGTTAGGCACAACGGGAACAAGATTTTGATGAGATGGAGAAGTGGCTGAAAGAGGACCCATCGCTGGCCGGCAATGAATTCGACCGCTTCTTAGCCGAGAGGGCGACGGCTCTCGA